ATTTATCTTGTATCATTGTGGTAGTTTTTCTGTTGTTGTCTTTGATTTTTCTATTTATAGATGTGAGAAGAGAGAATGAGGGCGGTATCGCAAGTCTCAAAGTTCAGTTTAAAGAAAAAGACTACTGAAATGTATTCGATTACTTTTTTCATGTTCCAGATAGTTTGCTGCTTCAGGTTAAAGTCCAGAAATCGCAAAGTAGTTGTTAGTATGACGATCATGATAGATTACTTTAAAAAAAATGATAAAAGGGCTTGAAAAGCGTGTTAAGACATGACACAGACCAAATTTGCACGAGATTTAAGCCGGCCATGTGCTCAATATACCGGAAAGCTTTTGCGCCGGCACGAAAACTATACCGGATAACAGGGCTTCTGTTTCATACATACGGACGGTGATTTCGGCGCCATTTCTGTAACGAAGCGAAGTTGCACCACGCCAATCTCTAAAGTGGAGAGTCACATATCGGATAGGTGTTCATACTATACCCAATAGTATCAAAATAGCCTAAGAGGAAAGAGTCCTCGAGAGATTTTACCCAGGCCAAACGAAAACAGAACGTTACAGTGCACGATCGAAGCTAAAGTTGAAAATGAGTCAGTGCTATAATCCGATCTTTCTATGAAAACTACACGGTTTACACGGGTTTTATAGCACAATTCAATGAGTAGAAACAAGTAAAAGTAGTCACATGTTTGTGTGTCGTTGATTTTGTTTATCGGTGGTGTGTGGTGCCTGAAGGAAAAATAATGACAGTCACGCGATTTTTTAAGGAGAAACGGCTACAGACTATCAAGGGCCCAAGGCTAAGAGAACTATGGTTTTTCTTTGGGAAAAAGAAAATTTTATTTTATTTTGTCCGGTAGTATAAGCTTAACTATTGTATTTCGTTTGGCTTACAAGAAGGTTTGTCTGGCTACTTTTTTCTTTAAATCTTATTGAGTACAGTGAACACCCGCGAATAAGAGCCTAGTGGATTAAGAACCTCCTGGCAGAAATTTGCCACTTAAATACCCAGTAATACAAAAATCTGATTAAGCAAGCAAGATCAAGCAGGTTCTTATATGTAGGTTACAGTTAAATTATCATAAATAATTTAACCAAGGAGTGTTACTTTGAGATTGTATACTTAGACTATTTGGATATAGAGTGAATCTTTCAACGCTAAGAAGTCTTTTTTTAATTTTCTTGTAAGTAGTTGTTAAGGAGAAACAAAAAGCAAACTGCGGTGATAAGCTTGTTTTTCACTAGCGCATAAGCATAAGGACATACGCACGCGCAGAATGGCATATTTGACTCTTTTCTCGATACAAACTCTCCTCAACCCAATAATAAACAAGATGGCGGACGAAGCATCGGCCATATTGTATTTGATATGTTGGCATGAGGTCTGGGTGGAGCGGCGTCTGAACCGGACTTAAGCAACTGAAAACTGGGTCGACATAAGCGACAGAGTCTGTCGAACTTTTGTCGAACTTAACTTAGGTTCGACACACGGTACGCCTTCTGAATCAGATGTCGCGCCAGTGTCGCTCCAAAGTCGAACTTATTCAGTTAGGTTCGGCACATGAAAAGTACGGCGTCTGAACCAGGCCTTACACATGTGCTTAAGCCTAAGCTTATGCGCTAGTAAAAACCAGGCTGACCTTCCGGTTATTTTCCAAAGCACGCATCGTATTAAGTCTCTTTTTCCTACAAAGACAAGCTCACCCGTGCTCAAATGTCCAGGGTTGTTTATAAAGCTAGTTGTTGGGACTTGCAGGATTTCTACATAGGCATATGTCATCTATCGTTTCTTTAATTAGTTATTTAGTCTACATTCGAACTTCTGTTATTATTCAACGGTTAATTACTTCTGAAGATGTATGTTGGAACGTACGAAACGTGAAGATAAAGTTTTAGTTCTTTCCAGAAATGCGTTAATATTTCCTTATATTTATCACTGCAGTTTGCTTTTTGTTTCTTCTTAAGCTAAGATGGCCAAAAACCAGTGTATCTACGATTAAGGTAGTTGTTATACTGAACAATCTTTGTTTTTTAAGGTCTGGCTTTTGCAATGTTGGCATCTCTTCCTCCTGTTACTGGACTTTACACCGCAATCATTCCTGTCCTACTTTACATGATCATGGGAACATCAAGAACTCTATCCGTAGGTAAGTTACCTAAATAGACCCAAAAGACCTATTGTTATTTAATGACCTTTGTGCAGTTTGTACAAATGTAAGTGAGTACCCTGTGCACCATCTCTTGAGTGCAAAAGTCAAATTTTAAGGAAAATTAGATTTAGAGTTATAATATCATTCATTAATAAGCCTCTTGTTTTATTTTGCCGTCACGTGACAGGTAGTTTTGCAGTGATTTGTCTGATGGTGGCACAGGTCTGTGAGCGTGAAGTGGCTTTAATGTCTTTTGACCCTACTCCTACTCCAGGAAATAGTACGGGTCCCAGTCCCTCTCCAACTCCCAGCAGCAGCTTATGGACCCCAAAAGACGCAGCCAAACTAGAAATTGCCATAACGCTGTCGTTCCTTATAGGAATCATACAGGTTAGTAGCGCGATTCTACAATAGAATGAGGAAAAAAGGAAGACCCGATAGTCTGAAATGTCAGTCACAAATAAAACCGTAAATCGAATGGGATTGAGTCTACCGGCATTGACAAAACAAAAACTATTCTCCGAGGTTAGAAAAAAGGCCTTGAGGAGAGATTTACCTCAATTTGAAATGTAAAAAAATCTATCTTATCATAACATAACTCCGTATCACAGTTTCCAATCTCGTTCCCAGAGACTGCTATCCTTTTGGTCAGCACTAACAGTTCCGCTGGACACGGCTAACGAAGGCTCTGGCCCAGGTCATTTTTTTCCACAACACTCGACTACCTTGCGCCCTCACCTAGCAATGTGCACGCTAGTCAGAACAAGGCGGGGGGGGGAGGGGTGGGGAGGCTTGCCCTAAGAATCTCCCTTAGACATTCCTTTGTTTAAAACACTGCGTTAATTTCAAACCCTCTTGCGGACGAAGCAAGACTTCTTTTTCCTCCTTTAAATCCTTGGAAGAAAAGAAGAGACCTCTTCACGCAGGGTTGATTTTCCTGTTGGTTTTCTAACCTTAGATTGTCATGGGAGCTGTTCACCTGGGTGTTGTGGCAACGTACTTGTCCGATCCTTTGATCAGCGGTTTCACCACAGGGTCAGCGGTGTTGGTTGTAATCAGCCAAATGAAGCACATTCTTGGTGTCAAGGTGCCGCAGTTTGCAAAACCATTCGTTGCACCAAAGGTGAGACTAGAAGTCGTTCTGACTCTTCTGACGAGAGACTGGAAACTAGACGCATTTTTAGTAAAAAGATTATAATATGTATGATTCGAAGAGGACCAACCACTACGCTTGAGCTAAACAAGCCTCCACTGTTTTAAGAAATTAATTGTTAAAAGTTAGATGCATTTTCAAAACAGCTATAGCTTGCAAAACTACCATAATTCATTCGTTTTTGCTTTCGTTTTTAAATTTGTCAATCCTACCGAGGTTTAAAAACAATAGCCCTAATAGACCATTTTACAGTGGTGGACTTAGTACCCTAGTCTTCGAGTGAATGCGAGGCTGACGGTGACCTTGTTTTGATACAAACCTTCTTTGCTTTGTTATGGAAATTGTCCTTGAAAAATACTAGTTAGCATAAGAATAACTTGATTTACATTAAAAAGCAGGAAGGTTTGTACCAAAACAAGGTGAACTCCAATCTCGCCTCCATCCATAAATGCCAAATGGCCTATTTGCACAAGAAAACAACAAACTGAAGGATTCTGGGAGCTGTAGTAAAATAACAGAGAAAGGTTGGTTCTTAACAATACGGCGTGCAGTGACGTCATTAAAATTCAAAATGGTGCGCGCATGACGCGAACTATGGATACGATTTCACTATAACATCAGTGCAGTCTGTCCCCTGATTTCTGCTGACTTCAATGAATGTTTGACTTTAACTTTTGTGTCTTTCAGGGCGTCATCCATATGCTAAAGAATCTCCCTCATGCGAATGTTGGTTCCATTATAACCGGCGTGTTGTGTCTCGCAGTGTTAATTGGGCTAAAACACGTGAACGAACGCTTCAAAAACAAGCTCAAAGTTCCTATACCAGGCGAACTGCTTGTGGTCAGTGTTAAACTCCCATAATCTCTTTATAACCCTTTAAGCCCCAGTATCCACATACAAATTCTCCAAACTGATCTCTATACATTTCCTTCAAGAATAAGTTGAGAGAATTTGATATAAGATCAAGGCATTTTCCCCTAGGTGATCATTTTATTAATTCTCATAACCTAATCTCTTGATATTGTATGGATATCGTTAGGAGAAAATTGACGTTAGTCACTACTGGGCCTTAAAGGGATAAGTCAAAGTTTCATGTTTAAATGACTTTAGAATGTCACATTTGAGTATTGATTGGGGGCTCGAATGGTGGGCCCACATGTTGGTTGTCGGTAGCCGGTTAAAATATTTTTCAAATATTTTTCACCTTTTGCCACTAGTCGGTTAATCTTATTCAGATCCTCTTGATCACCATTTTTGAAGGAATGCCTTTTTTTCGCTTTGTCGAGTTTCATTGCAGTTTTTAGTTTTAGTCCTGAATTTTTTTATTGATTTAATTTGCCTGACTGACGATTCTTCCTTCCTGTCACACACCCGTCATTTGTAACACAAGAACAAAGTTATGTTCTGAGAGCGACACTCGGTGAAATGCGAAACGACTGTGCTATTGGACGAAACAACTATATTGTAACCTCTATTAAGCGGCCGCCCTCTGTTAAGCGGCCAGTATTCAAATTCCCGAAATTATTGTAGAAAAGATTGGGAACTTAAGTTTGGCTTGATTTCAAGAATGTGATGAAGGGAAAAACAGTCTGAGATAGAAAGTGACAACCAATTGTGGACCAGTAATGCTTCTTTCGTCGCGCTTTTGTCTGAAAATAAAGTGACGTTTCTACTAAAGATTATACTGATTTATGACGAACCTCTATTGAGAGGCCACTTTCCAGTACTCCGAGGGAGACCGCTTAATGAAGATACGGTTTAATTGTAATTGCAGATAGCCGACATGCCGATATTGTTTTCTGAAGGTTGTTGAAAAAGGTCTTTTATTTCTCTTTTGCTTCCTTCCCTAGGTGGTCGTGGGCACTGCAATCTCGTATGGAGCAGCAATCAACAAAAACTTCGGAGTGTCTATCTTAGGTTTTATACCAAAGGGGTAAGCCATAGATAAAGCATCAACAACAGCCCAATTTTTTTTCAAAATCAACTTGCAAAAAAAGTCCGTTTCACAGCTGACCCAAAACTGTATCTAAATTTTAAAAAAAAACATTTTCCAGGGAAATGACGCAATATTTAAAATTGGAATACCGTTCAAATCAAATTTTGTTTAGATGGCTGGCAAAAATTTTCAGCATTTTTGAGTACTGTCATTTTGAGTAGTCAATATGTCTGCTACACCTTTTCAGTTCATGTTACAATTAATGGCATCAAACAGACGCCGAATTACTAGTAAAGAAATTATAGTCATTATTTAAACGAAAAAGGTTGCCATAGCGACACTAGTAAAATTTAATTTAATAACTCACAAAAGGATTCGGTGGCTCCCATTTTTAATGAGAGCGTTTTGTTCAGCATATCCAAAATCAACTTATAAAAAGTTCAAAAAATCGTAAGGAGCGGGTTCAGAGCACCCTTAACGTTTTCTTTTTTCCCAAAAAATTCAGCGATTGTGCAACAAGCAAGTGCGGGGAATAGTCGCCTCTTGCGCGAAGAAGAGACCCTGACATAGTCATAGCCTAAAAGTATCTTTTTTTTCTTAATTTCAGTCTTCCCCCTCTGAGCGTGCCTAATTTCTCTCTGGTGTCGAACATCTTCTCAGATGCCTTTGTCATCGCAGTGGTTATCTTTGCTACAAACATTTCGATTTCTAAAATGTTTGCCAAGAAACATGGCTATTTAGTGGATCCAAATCAGGTAAACATAATAAGCCACCGTACACTTCTATCCAAGCCATTAATTTTCTTTTTTCCTTCTTCTTCTTCTTTACTAGTGTACTCCTACCTTACTATATATAATGTAAATATTTTATAAAAGTGTGAATAAAATTGAATTGAATTCTCCGTAGTCCCGAGATCAAATCCTTGTCCACGCTTGTAAATAACCAACTGGTTTGCCTCTGGCCGGTTGGGTTTCTTAACCCTATTATGTTCGATTTAAATTATTTGTTTCAGTCATTTGCTCGGCCCAACTAGCATTAGTGCTATAAATACTGCCGAGGGTAAATAACGAAAAAAATTTTTTTTTTATTGTCCTATTATGATCTTTTGATAACTGTTACAATGTACTGCAAAAGAAGTCTTTTACTTAAAGTCAGCTGCATTTTGTGCAGTTTTAAGATATTTTGGATAGAGAACGTGAAACGAATTTGTTTCTTAGGGCGCTGTTAGAAAAGTCAGAATCGGCCGACCAAGAAAATGAAATAGGCTTAGTCTTTCGAGAGTCAGATAGAGTCAGTTCGTTAAAAACCCATCCTGCTGAAGTTCATTATGCTTAGCCTGGATAAACTGATCTGGCTGGACTGACTGATTAATAGTCGTAGACGTCCCTTTAACACTGCACTGGTCTTGCAGACCAGTTCTGACAAATGGCAAGTGCATCATTATCGGTGCGCTTGGACACGCTCACTCCATATTAACGCCGAAGGCCGAGCTTATTTACAGAGCTAATGAAATCCATTTTTAAAAGTTCTCTTATATCTACGCCATATCGACTTGTTTCCTTCCAGGAGCTGATAGCTTATGGTGCGGGTAACTTCGTCGGCTCATTCTTTTCTTGTTTTCCGATTTGCAACGCTTTGGCGAGGTCAGTGGTTGAAGATAACCTCGCCGTCACACAGGTAACTTTTTTTATTGACCACAAAATAACAACATCTATATACAGCATATAATAAAAATAAATATATAACAAAACTAATTACAGCCTAATTACGAAGTTTACAAGAAGCTCATACACAAAAAAATTATATATAGGTAAAGTAAATTTAAAAAAAGTATTAGAGAATAAAAGCCTGTCAGTCGCCACGCATATTTAAATATATTGCTTGCCACAATTTTCAAAGCGATATTGGTCAAAAAGCTTACGTAAAGTCACTCAGGTAACGTTAATACCGGCCACAAAGAATTGCTGCTTTTGATCCAAACATTGCCAGCATTATAATATCGCACTAGCTTAGTTTATCCTTGAATATCGAGCACTTGACCGCTACCGAGCAGGGAATGACCGATGCGGCACAGAAAAACGCACCGCCTACGCTATGTAAGTGCCACAAAGTATTTAAATGCTTACAGGCACAGGTTGGTTCTGATTGTAGATGTTCTAAAGGTGTACCTTCAATACCCTAAGCAACAAATTGATGGAGCATAGCCAGTTAATGAATAACAATTATTCACCGAGGTGGATGTTTGCTTTGTAAACGAAAGCTTTCTCACCGGTTTTATCGATAAATTCAGGTTAAACAGGACAAGCTTTACCTGTAAAAACTGCCAAACCGAATTTCGTCGCCTTCTTCGTGATTCCTCTTCGGTTATTTATGAAATGTCTTCGTTTATTACGGTAGCAAATAGGGAGGTGAATAGCAATGGATATCCCGAGTTTGAGAAGCCAGTCACAGTTTCAGTATATACTTAAAGGTAATTATTACATATTCTATTCCACAGCTTTGCAGTATAGTCGTGATCGTCCTGATTCTTCTGGTGCTGCTGTTTATTGCCCCGCTTTTCTTCCATCTTCCCAAGGTAACGAAGGACTAAGTTCATTTGCAATCACCCTTTAGCGCCGGTTTATCAGTGTGTTCTTATACAGTTATTGTATCCTTTATCCTGTTTCAGGCCATCCTAGCTGCTGTACCTGAATTTTTTTATTGATTTAATTTGCCTGACTGACGATTCTTCCTTCCTGTCACACACCCGTCATTTGTAACACAAGAACAAAGTTATGTTCTGAGAGCGACACTCGGTGAAATGCGAAACGACTGTGCTATTGGACGAAACAACTATATTGTAACCTCTATTAAGCGGCCGCCCTCTGTTAAGCGGCCAGTATTCAAATTCCCGAAATTATTGTAGAAAAGATTGGGAACTTAAGTTTGGCTTGATTTCAAGAATGTGATGAAGGGAAAAACAGTCTGAGATAGAAAGTGACAACCAATTGTGGACCAGTAATGCTTCTTTCGTCGCGCTTTTGTCTGAAAATAAAGTGACGTTTCTACTAAAGATTATACTGATTTATGACGAACCTCTATTGAGAGGCCACTTTCCAGTACTCCGAGGGAGACCGCTTAATGAAGATACGGTTTAATTGTAATTGCAGATAGCCGACATGCCGATATTGTTTTCTGAAGGTTGTTGAAAAAGGTCTTTTATTTCTCTTTTGCTTCCTTCCCTAGGTGGTCGTGGGCACTGCAATCTCGTATGGAGCAGCAATCAACAAAAACTTCGGAGTGTCTATCTTAGGTTTTATACCAAAGGGGTAAGCCATAGATAAAGCATCAACAACAGCCCAATTTTTTTTCAAAATCAACTTGCAAAAAAAGTCCGTTTCACAGCTGACCCAAAACTGTATCTAAATTTTAAAAAAAAACATTTTCCAGGGAAATGACGCAATATTTAAAATTGGAATACCGTTCAAATCAAATTTTGTTTAGATGGCTGGCAAAAATTTTCAGCATTTTTGAGTACTGTCATTTTGAGTAGTCAATATGTCTGCTACACCTTTTCAGTTCATGTTACAATTAATGGCATCAAACAGACGCCGAATTACTAGTAAAGAAATTATAGTCATTATTTAAACGAAAAAGGTTGCCATAGCGACACTAGTAAAATTTAATTTAATAACTCACAAAAGGATTCGGTGGCTCCCATTTTTAATGAGAGCGTTTTGTTCAGCATATCCAAAATCAACTTATAAAAAGTTCAAAAAATCGTAAGGAGCGGGTTCAGAGCACCCTTAACGTTTTCTTTTTTCCCAAAAAATTCAGCGATTGTGCAACAAGCAAGTGCGGGGAATAGTCGCCTCTTGCGCGAAGAAGAGACCCTGACATAGTCATAGCCTAAAAGTATCTTTTTTTTCTTAATTTCAGTCTTCCCCCTCTGAGCGTGCCTAATTTCTCTCTGGTGTCGAACATCTTCTCAGATGCCTTTGTCATCGCAGTGGTTATCTTTGCTACAAACATTTCGATTTCTAAAATGTTTGCCAAGAAACATGGCTATTTAGTGGATCCAAATCAGGTAAACATAATAAGCCACCGTACACTTCTATCCAAGCCATTAATTTTCTTTTTTCCTTCTTCTTCTTCTTTACTAGTGTACTCCTACCTTACTATATATAATGTAAATATTTTATAAAAGTGTGAATAAAATTGAATTGAATTCTCCGTAGTCCCGAGATCAAATCCTTGTCCACGCTTGTAAATAACCAACTGGTTTGCCTCTGGCCGGTTGGGTTTCTTAACCCTATTATGTTCGATTTAAATTATTTGTTTCAGTCATTTGCTCGGCCCAACTAGCATTAGTGCTATAAATACTGCCGAGGGTAAATAACGAAAAAAATTTTTTTTTTATTGTCCTATTATGATCTTTTGATAACTGTTACAATGTACTGCAAAAGAAGTCTTTTACTTAAAGTCAGCTGCATTTTGTGCAGTTTTAAGATATTTTGGATAGAGAACGTGAAACGAATTTGTTTCTTAGGGCGCTGTTAGAAAAGTCAGAATCGGCCGACCAAGAAAATGAAATAGGCTTAGTCTTTCGAGAGTCAGATAGAGTCAGTTCGTTAAAAACCCATCCTGCTGAAGTTCATTATGCTTAGCCTGGATAAACTGATCTGGCTGGACTGACTGATTAATAGTCGTAGACGTCCCTTTAACACTGCACTGGTCTTGCAGACCAGTTCTGACAAATGGCAAGTGCATCATTATCGGTGCGCTTGGACACGCTCACTCCATATTAACGCCGAAGGCCGAGCTTATTTACAGAGCTAATGAAATCCATTTTTAAAAGTTCTCTTATATCTACGCCATATCGACTTGTTTCCTTCCAGGAGCTGATAGCTTATGGTGCGGGTAACTTCGTCGGCTCATTCTTTTCTTGTTTTCCGATTTGCAACGCTTTGGCGAGGTCAGTGGTTGAAGATAACCTCGCCGTCACACAGGTAACTTTTTTTATTGACCACAAAATAACAACATCTATATACAGCATATAATAAAAATAAATATATAACAAAACTAATTACAGCCTAATTACGAAGTTTACAAGAAGCTCATACACAAAAAAATTATATATAGGTAAAGTAAATTTAAAAAAAGTATTAGAGAATAAAAGCCTGTCAGTCGCCACGCATATTTAAATATATTGCTTGCCACAATTTTCAAAGCGATATTGGTCAAAAAGCTTACGTAAAGTCACTCAGGTAACGTTAATACCGGCCACAAAGAATTGCTGCTTTTGATCCAAACATTGCCAGCATTATAATATCGCACTAGCTTAGTTTATCCTTGAATATCGAGCACTTGACCGCTACCGAGCAGGGAATGACCGATGCGGCACAGAAAAACGCACCGCCTACGCTATGTAAGTGCCACAAAGTATTTAAATGCTTACAGGCACAGGTTGGTTCTGATTGTAGATGTTCTAAAGGTGTACCTTCAATACCCTAAGCAACAAATTGATGGAGCATAGCCAGTTAATGAATAACAATTATTCACCGAGGTGGATGTTTGCTTTGTAAACGAAAGCTTTCTCACCGGTTTTATCGATAAATTCAGGTTAAACAGGACAAGCTTTACCTGTAAAAACTGCCAAACCGAATTTCGTCGCCTTCTTCGTGATTCCTCTTCGGTTATTTATGAAATGTCTTCGTTTATTACGGTAGCAAATAGGGAGGTGAATAGCAATGGATATCCCGAGTTTGAGAAGCCAGTCACAGTTTCAGTATATACTTAAAGGTAATTATTACATATTCTATTCCACAGCTTTGCAGTATAGTCGTGATCGTCCTGATTCTTCTGGTGCTGCTGTTTATTGCCCCGCTTTTCTTCCATCTTCCCAAGGTAACGAAGGACTAAGTTCATTTGCAATCACCCTTTAGCGCCGGTTTATCAGTGTGTTCTTATACAGTTATTGTATCCTTTATCCTGTTTCAGGCCATCCTAGCTGCTGTTGTCATCGCCAACCTTGTTGGTCTGCTGAAGCAATTTTCCAGATTTCCAGTTTTGTGGAGAATAGATAAACCAGACGCGGTGAGATTTGGGTCACTAAAAAATAATCATTACGAAACAAAGCCAGTGTATCCAAGGATCTCTAAGCATTTGTAGTTATTTGAGAAAGTGCATCTTGTGGGAAGGCAGGAACCCTTTAGCAGGATCGTGCAACTCCCCGCCATACTTAGCCTATACAAGGGCATTTTCACAGATCAGTTTATTTTTAGCACCATTTGGAGCGCTCTTTCCCACGAGAATGGAAACACCGCTCTGTATGATTGTGCATCCGTATTATGATATATATGAAAAAATGAAACGTTAATGTCTTTAAAACATCAGAAATACTATTTTTGGCCTCTGGTTATAAAGGTACTCATCAGCTTACTCTTGATATTCTAGAAAGGTTACAACAATGCACTATGTATTTATGTTAAGGAAACATCGGGCGTTCCCGCGCGTATTTAAGGGAACTGCGAGTTTACTTTGAACGTATCCCTGGAGCGGTCTTAAAAAGTATTTAAATCGTAGTTGGCCTACATTTATATCACTAAAGCTTACCATAACGCGCGTATTTGGAGCGTGCTCTCGGCGTACTGTGAGCTCACTATTAATGTCGGTTGGTGCTTTCTATAAGATGCTTACTAAAACACCTTTAACATATAAGTACTCTAATGGCCGTGCTAAGGTGTGCTAGGTGATTATTTTAACATAGTACGTGGATTCAAATATGCAGTGAAATACTATTGCAGGGAGTTCATAAATTTCACAGCCCATCTATTCAAACAAATGCCTGACGATTTGTTTATTTTCAGATTGTCTGGTTCGTTTCTTGTTTTGGAGTCATATTGATGGGAGTGGATGTAGGACTTGGTATCGGGCTCATTTGTGCACTGTTTGTTGTTGTTGTAGTCCTTTCCAGGTAAGTAAACAATCGGAAAAGGAATTAGTAAGTCAATCGAACAAACTGAGAGAATTAACTATCTATCAGTTCCGTCAGAATGCGAGAAACCTGTCGCTTAGTTCTGTGAATCTTCCTGTCTTCCCATTTGTCAGTCTGTCGTGTTCCTGGATTTCAATCAGTTCTTTATACTGACTGTCTCTTTTGTCCGACCGAGTCCGTAAAACCAGTCAGTCAGCCCTACCATCAATAGACCAGTTGGTCTATTACTTGATACAGACTGCCTTAGTTTCGCGGTTCGCGTTCTGTACCCTTCCCTTCTTCCTCGCGCGCTCGAGATCCTAACCTTAGCTTTCCCTTTTGACCGCCTGCCACGCAAGTGAGTCTTGATTGGCTACCCGAGCAGACAAGATGGCGGGATCTATGTTGCCTGCTTTGTCCCCTTCTTTTGCCCATTTAGTAAATCCTTAATTGACCAATTTTTCTCGGTCAAGATATCCGGAAATTGGCCTTCTCCTAATTTTTACATACTTATGGGCAGCTGTAAAAACGAAAAACAAAGAAAACGTTCACGCTTGTCAAATAACATATTTTGTTGTTCCCAGGTCGAACTATGCTATACTGGGACGCGTGACAGAAACAGAACTGTACCGCGACACTGGAAACTGTCCTTTGGTACGTCTCTTAAGATAAAAACGATCCTTACCTAATCCCCTATTATTACTTTGTTAGTGTTGTTCCCTACACTTTATAACAATAGAAGAGACGGCAAATAGTAAATGTAAAACAGTTTTAAGTTGCAAGTGTAAGAATATTCTTTAAACAGCTCGTTCAGTCCGGAGGGCGTATCTTAATGATGTTGTTTTTCTCTGAAGGCCACGGAGGTATCTGGAATAAAGGTGCTTAGATTTGAGTCCACGTTGTACTTCGGTAATGTGGAGCGCTTCAGGAATGCCCTTTATACGGTTACCGGACTAGATCCCAACACTGAAGGACAACCAAAATTAGAGGTAAGACTGCCAGCGGGCCTGCTTAAATTTTAATACAGCATACCGTAAATGATCCCGTTGAAGTCTCCTCTCAAATAAACTCCTCTTGTCTACTTGTAATAAACGCCTCCCCTACGATGTGAAGTTGGTATTAGACCAGCTCCTCTCTGAGAAACGCCCCCTGTCAAGAGAGAAGCTCATTCTCTCTTGCCCCTGTCTAATAGACGCTCCCCTACCCTTCGAAAATTACTACAAAATACTGGGAAATAGAAAAAGGAGAAAAATCGTTCAATTTATTCAGTTTCCTGCTTTAACGAGGGTTTGTGTATTGCATCTTGTTCTATCTCAGCTTTAATGTCATTAGGAATGGCTAACGATAACAACACAATGACCCTGAACGACGATTCTGAAATCGGATTTGAGATTTGAATGATAATGGGTGGACTGGATATTCTACTATTTGTTAGCCCTTTTAGTATTTTCGCTGAAAGAACGCTATTCACAGTTATGGTAATAAACGCCCTTCTCTTTTGAACGCCACCTATCTATTAAACAGCGACACCCCCTTGAACCCTCAAATTTCAGTAAATAAAATCCCGGGTGTCTACTAGATCATTTACGGTATATCCAATTAAAATTGAAACGATTTTGTTGGTCATAATTAAGTTTTCTTTAGAAATCGTTCCCCAAACTGGTCAAGCAAATCGTAATGTGTACATCGGGCACAACGTAGCATGAACCGGTCTTGTAAAGCGATATTACGCTCGCTCTAATTGTTCACCCAGCCTGTTGTTTGTTTGTTTGTTTTTTTTTTACTGGTGAAAAATTTATAGAAAACTTCTTAGCCAGAAAACTTTTCTCTGCTTCTGTTATCAATTTCGTGTGGGTTTATTGCGCCCCTATTAAACCATGATGAAAAGTTATGTATATTGCTTGACTGGTCCGTGATTGTTCTATAAACAGAAAATAAACGACAACAACGGCCATATGGCAGTCGAGGTCGAGACGTCAGAGAAACGAATTCACACAGTTATAATTGATGGTAGCAGCTTCACCTTCATTGATTCAATGGCTTTGCACGCTATTCCATCGGTGAGTATATCTTTGCATCTGAAAAGTGCATCTTGTCTTACTTCCAGTCCACTTTCAAAAACCACTTTTGTAGTCGCGTTGCTGGCGGGAATTCGCGTGCGAGAGTTTTGCTCGAACACGGGTAGCTACCTGGGGACTTCAAGTCGCCGATGGCGGAAAATTCCTTCGCGAGGCGCTTGCACAGGCGAAAAAAACTTCCACCTGGAGTCCCCAGCTCCCGTTTTGTACCATACGCAAGGTGACATCGTATTTGGGATCATTAAAAATTTGGCCATTTGTTTTTAATTACCCCCTTTTATTGTGTAGCTCTTTTTTTTAAATCATCCCTTATCCGCCAAATATTCAATCTTAACGCCCTCTCGTCCAGTCGACACGTTAGTCCATCTACTCGCTTTTGTTGATGTTCTGTACAATAAAGTAACCTCTACCCTCTCTTCTGTTTCAGCTAATGTCAGAGTTTAAAAAGATTGGAGTTGATATTTACCTGGCTGGCTGTTCCTGTAAGTACTTATTATAAATTTCTCAGGCACATCATTTGAACTAAAACCAAAATTAATACATGCGGCCAGTGCCAAGCACGCCGAGAAACTCAGTAGAAGCGAAGGAGGATGTTAAAGGCTAATACTTTGTTCCTGCCACTGAATATTCAGTAAGACTTTCCACTAGGTAGTGCAATTGGCTTTCGGCCTAACTCTTATCCGCTGAATAGCGCTATCCAGGTTTCACTCTTGAACAAACGTGGCGTTTTTGATGACGTACGAAATGTATGGCTTAGAATCTCTAAGCAAACTTTGTGATCTTCCACGTGTTACAACCCCCTTTAAACTGTAAAGAAGGTCTTTTCGTTATCTACTTCATCGCTTTATTTATTTTCTCTTTTGTAATTTATTTTTATTGCTTTGTTGCAGCGACTCTAACCAGAAAACTCACAAATTCATCTGAAAAGTCTGCGATTACAGCAGTTGATCATCACGCACTGTTCCCATCTATACACGACGCTGTGATGTCAGCCATGCAGTCACGTTAATGCTGTGCAACATCGTTCCCAGGGCCCCCAGCGCCACTCTCCTTTGTCCTTTGCAAAAAAAGTAGAGATACTGGGAATGAGCGTTATTTTACAGCACTCAGTTTATTAAGGGAACGCTCGTAGTTCATTAGGTAGCGCGCTATGGCGATTTTGCAGTGTGAAAGAATATTACATGGGTGCCCCTCACTCAACCAACGATACTTTTCTGTACAAATTATATAGCATAATGTGCGTCTTTTCGAAACATTTCAGTAGATTTTCAAACCCTTTCATACACTTTAACTCATGCCGAATTCCCTACCCTTTGATTTTACCTTAAGCCTGAAAAAGGTACCCCTTTCGGGCGGAGCCTCCCCGTATAGGTCATTATAGGAGGTGCCCTCCCCGGGGGGTTTAGCCTCCCGAGCAGACGCTTCTGCCGATCGGAATGAATGGCGAAGCCCTAAGAACGTCTTTTTAGAAGGCTATCTAAGATTCATGTTATTGTTTGTCTGTTTGTTTTTTCATCCCATGGCATTTAAAGGTTTTCAAAGAGGCAACGACACTTTCTTACTTCGCCATGATATTTTGAGTGTTTTTCTTTATTTGAATGTACTGAGAGGGCATCACTATATACATTTAGGAAGGTTAAGTCCCTGGTGAACCCATTCCTATCAGAAAGCTTTTTAATATATTATAAATTAAGTAGGAAGTACCGTGTGTAATGTATTGAGATATTTCTACTGGAAGTCTGGATATTTTGAGCTTGATTTGAATCATGGGATATTGTAGAGCATGCTTGCCGATTATCATGGAGTTTTGATTAAAGTTTGATACGCTTGATTTCGTGTCTCAAGTGCCATCCTTGCGGATCATTACACCTTGAAGTTTCTCCCACTTTTTCGATGCTGGAAGTATGAGTTGTGATAGCACAATTTTCGGCAAAATTCATCCTTGCGATAATGCCTTCCATCATTTTCCCGAAAAAAGCGCTTTTGACATATTATGTATTTTTGGCTCCTTTTGTATTTCAAAATAGGTCATTTATTGATCGATACTACCATTATTTTGGCACGAGATCAGCATAATTTGTCCGGAAGTATGTAATGAAGTATGTGCAATTTAACCTTTTGTTTCTAATATTAAATTTGTTGACTTCAGGTATATTTGTAGTGTCTGAATATTTGACCGAAATGTTACGTGGTTGTTTTCTGCATTTGTGCTAATATCAGCAATTTCGAAAAAAGCTAGCATATCAGGTTTTGGAATAACTAATGCTCATAACTTTCTGAAATGATTTCAGAAAATTCTAATGAGCACTGCTAGTATAGTGGCATATTGTGCTCCTTTACGAGCACAATTTAATGAAGCTTAGCTATGTAGATAAACCCTTTGATCCACAAAATGGCCTTTGAACAACTTATAATAAAACAATAGAGTTTATGGTAGCAGGGCCAAAACATATTTATGCCCAAGAATATATTTATGCCCAAGAGCACAGACTCTACAACTATTATTATCACTTTGAAGGGCATTGAGAAAATAAAGACTTCTCAAAAAATGACGACAAGACAGTCTGAATCAAATCACACGAGCATTTACATGTCGAAAGGCCTTTATTTTTGCCCAAAACTGGCTAGAAATGACAATTTCGCACCATTTGAGTTTTAAAAAATTATAATAGACATGAAAGCTTATTTGCAAGCGTCAAAATTAAATGTACATGTGTAAAAATGTTACATGTCAACTAACAGTGTGGCATAATTGGTTCAATTGAGTGCGTTCTGTGCGTTTTGTGAAAACCACACAAGCGTGACTGGGTGGCAAGAGTTGTGTTTCCGGCCCAGACAAATCCTTCTAATTTTCGGCGGCCGTTACAATCGCTACTTTTGAAATATATGGCTGAAAATTTATAGTGTACCTAACTTTAATATGCTCTTTCAGTTCGTGCTAACAAAATGTTTCAAAAGCGAATTGTTTTCGTGTTTAGAGAAAATTGATCACGTGATCAATCTATGCGGAAATAAAAAAAGGCTTATTCTTGGAAGACCTTCAGCTGAGACCTTTGGGAGACTTACCTTTCATGAATATTCAAACCAGTCGTTCAGAGAAAAGAGTTATGGCTTCTCATCAAGTATTACTACTTGTGCTATTAGCTGTTGCTTGCTCGCTTTTCGCTGTGAGCATTGGTTGGTGCACTCAGTCTAACTTAAGTTCTTGTAGTTTTGAAATTCAAGTTTGTTGCAATAATGAATGTGTTTTTGGTTCAGGCTGCCTCGGTCGGTTTTGTTCCAGGGATTCCGATTGCGCTGTCTCTGAAAGTTGTTGTGAGAGTCAATGCAGATCTGACTGTCTGGGGTATTTATATTTTACTGAATCTGACCGTGGATCATCTAAATCATCCAGTCATGATTCCTCAGATACCACTCCAATCGTAACTTACGCTGTAATAGCTGGCGTGGTTATTATCGCCTGTTTATTCTTTGCCTGCCTTTACTGCTACGTTTACAGACAACGCCAAGTTCTCCGGAGAGGACAAAGGGTTTTAACCAGCAATGTTACGACCGCAAGAAATGCATCAGAAGGTACCCCACCCTACCCTGGACAGGAACCACCTTCATACCAACATAGCCACCCAGACTACCCTCCACCTCAATACGAACAACATCAGTCGGCCTCGCCTCCTCCATACAGCTGTGGGGCAGCGGTTGCAAGTGATCACCCTCCCTCTTATGCTTACAGTGTAGGAATAGAAACGGAATCAGGGGGAGTAAATTCTCCTAGAGGAACATATGGTGCTGTATAATGACGACATTTCTGGCGTGACCTTGCGGAAAAGGAAGTATGGCGTCCGTTTTTACATTCAGAGCCTCGTTGACTGTAGTTGTAACTCTTGCTTCCTCCCATTTTGCTGTGAGCAATGGCCGGTGTTCCAAGTATGACTCGAATTCCTGCAAAACAGGTCAAGTTTGTTGTATCAATGAATGTGTTTTCGGCTCTGACTGTCTCGGTCATTATTGTTCCACCGATTCCGATTGTGGTTTGCTATTTTGTTGTTCGAGTCGATGCCGCAGGTCTCACTGTAGTTACTCATGTTCTACTGACTCAGATTGTGAATTCTCAGACATTTGTTGTTATGGAACATGCTCGCTCGAGTCAACCTGCAGTTATAATGATGGTTATGATTATACGGCCGTAACTATCGGTTCCGTGTGTGCAGGCTTGCTCATCTTCGCTTGTTTGGTCTCCATATGCTTTTACTACGCTTGCCGAAGACGCCGAACTCAATATAGAAGGATGGTAGTAGAGCAGAGAGTTTCAAACACGACCGTTAGGACCACAACAAGAACTGTACCGCTGCCTAACCCACCCTACGTAGGGCAGATACCTCCACCCTACCATCAAGGCTACCAATGCTATCCCCCACCACAGTATGAACAACATCAGACGGCCATGCCTCCACCATTATATAACCATGGGACAACAGTAGAAAATGAACAACCTCCCCCTTACAGTACAGCAACACAGGATAGATCAGGAGGGTATACGCATTTTTAAAATGGACTGTTTGGTGTTGGGTCTGTCAAAGTTTGGAACTAATGATGTCCTTGTCACACATTATTTTTCATCTCATGACTTGAATATTTTGTATAATTTTTAATGCCTAGTGACAAACATGCACAGAGTGACAAGTCATGAAATTCATAAAGATCCTGATCATTTCTTGACTTCAGTGGTTGTTAATCCTGCTACATAAATTATCATGATATGGTCCAGCAGATGTTTCAAAGACAACTGAGATAAAAAAAAAAAAGTAATAAATTTTTATTTTATGTGAGTTCTAAGTTATTGACAGTTATTGCGTTGATTTCAGCTTTCATAGATATGAATATCTGTGCAAAACACCCTCTTCAATCGATCTCATAAATAGTGCTGAGGAGGATACCAGCTAACCATAATTGATCACCAAAACCCCAACAAGGGGGAAGAGGAAATCTTGTCAGAGTGACTTTGTTGTTCTTGTGAAAGTTCACGCAGGCTTTATCAGCAGAGTAATTGCTACATTTTTTTGTCTCATTTGACTTTCGTTGTCAAGGCGCATGTACTAATAATAATAATGATAATAAAACAATAATAAATAATAATAATGATAATAAGATTTAGCCAAGCCTAAATGCAAAGCGTATGTTTATGTATTTTAATTTACTCAAGCTGTTTCCCTAGTGAAAGAAACTAACATAGATTTTCAAATGAAATTTCGTAAACTGATGTAACAAGTCGACAAGAAGATGATAAAAATGTGTGAAAGTAGGGGTCACTAACTGCTTGTTAATGCTGATGAATACTGCTACTTAGGGGTCTTTGACAATAACTGTGGAGAGCCCAAAACTAGACAAATGGGCATGACTTCTTCCTTGATACAAGTGATATTGCACAGAAATTGGCTTTATTCTGTTGTTGTCCACATGGCTGTTATTAAGAGACGGGCCCCCAGCCACTTTCATAGGAAAATAGAAGAAAAATTGAAGCAAAAGAAATCCCTAGCTGTCTGATTCCTGCCTACTTGTTGTATTTACCCGGCAACCTGAAATCTTAGTAACAGCCCTGTGTCCACCTACAAACCAAAAAAATGCATTTGAATCACTTTGCTTCTGAATGCTACAAAAAGTGAAGGCTCGGGTTTTGATGTGTGCCATTTGGCTCATTTTAGCTCTATCTAGCTTTGCAATATACTCGTAAAATGGTAAAAAAAAACCTGAACATAGCTTTTGCCAATTTGGTTTTCATTGAAAGGAGGCACCAGTCATGAAAATAATGGGGGTCACCATACTCTTGTTTTGAAGTAGAGAAACCTGTGAACATGCTCTCTCCTGGGGTAAGGAGGATACTAAGAAAACATAAGGAGATGGCAAGGAACTAGACAGAGAAAGGAAAGTGGTAGAATGGGCTAACCCTTTCCACTCCCTTGCTGTTTTGTTTCCCGTTTTTGCAATTTCCCCCAGCAAGAGGCCTGTAGCCTG